CACAGAAACATTTTGACCTGGTCCATGCTGATACTTGTTGAAGAAGACCCAGAGAACATTGTTCTCATCCTAACTCCTGACTTTTTTGCATCTCAGTCCCCAGAAGCAGACTCCTGTGCTTTCTCAAATCTTTATTTCACTCCCTTTAGTATCTCTTGTACAGGAGATACAGCCATGCCTTAATATTCCACATACAAACCCATACATATGTGCATTAATAAAAGGATCATACTACCTACGACTGACGAGCAGCTTGCTCAGAGGCAGAACTGTGCAGTTTTTAAAGGGCACAATACAAAACTTCTTCTCTTCTATCACTTGCACCATTTTTATGCTTTCAAAGCACTTCTCAAATATTAATTAGCTCTAAATAAATTCTAATTATTTCTAAGAGTGGCCCTAGCAGATCTGTATCATCTGGTGTGAAATCTGACTTCAGTGAAGTCAACAGCAACAGCTCCTCAGACTGCAGCAGAGCTGACATTTCCCTTGCCATTGCTAAAATCCTGGGAGTTGTTCCTGTTATCTGGTAAGTACCACAAGTAGAGCTGAACTAGCAACAGCAGGAGTAACAAGTGACAAGGTTATGGAATGAGAAGAAAAGAAGGGTTAAATGACCTGAGCCAATCTGTGGAGCTCCAATGTGGGAGAAGCCTTGGGAAATGCAGTAATTGGACTCCATTTGATTTCAACATCAGCTGAATTGGAAGGTGCTCGCCTGCTGCTAGAACCAGTTTAAATAGTTGGGATATGGGGGTCAACTCCTAAAATTTGCTCATGCTGCCAGTCACTAACTTAGTTAACAACTACCCTTGAAATATCAGCCCTTTATGAAAAGATTTGCACTATATATAGTGCAAATATATCTATATCTATCTATATCTAGAAGTTACATATTATGTGCATAATAAAATACATATAAAGAGGTTTGCATGAAAAATCTAAACTTTTACATTTCAAATAGCACACATTGCAAGAATAACGAAGTATAGGGCAAAAAAGTACATAATCAGTATTTACCTTCCTAACTGGGGACAATACAGCCCATCACATACTGCCAACTTATTTTTCTCATAAGAAAAAGTACTTCAGTTGTAAATAATAATATTAAATATTTTATACACGCAATTATATCTAGGTATGGAGGTTAAAAATTAACTGGAACCACAAAATATGAATCTTTTTCTCAAACAGAGAATCTTAATAGAAGTTCCTCCCTTCATCTCTGCCAACTTTACCACCACACAATATGCCATAGAGAAAAAAGGGGAAGTGTCAACTTGTGTAAATTGTCCCTTATGTAATGCAAACCATCTGTTTAAAAAAACAAAACAAAATGAAAACCCAAGCCACTCCCAAGCATGATCTGCTAAGAAGAAAAAGAAAGAAAAGGAAATGCAGTACATCAAACTGGAAGCCAAAGACCATGACCTGCCATGTAACCACGGAGAAAATATTTACCCCTCTCTTCCCTTTATTTATGCAATTTTGAAAAATATTTGGAAAAGCATAATTGAATCATTTGCTCTGCACATAATAGACTGATATTGCTGTATTTTTTTGAGCATTTCATCTCTCTAGAATGTTTTCAATCAGGCTGGAACCAAGCAGAGAAAACTCTTTGTTTTCAGTAACATATCACACAATGATGCCACCACTGGGTTAGAAGGTCCCTGAGTCCTCAGTCACTGCAACCTGGCTAAGGATGGGGGATAAAGTATCAGTACACTTCTGCCCTGTTCTTCTAGTCTTCCTTAGGTATCTGCCATGAAAGGAGTCTAAATGGACACTGCTATTAACTGCTACAATTATTTTTGTGTTATCGTCAGTCTAAATGCTCAGAAAACAAAGTATGTGTAAAGAAAACAATGCTCTTCCTTTCCATTCTCCGGTAAGTCAGGAGTCCTTTGGTAAGCACTGCCTGAGGAACCCTCCTACATACACTCTGAAACCATGGAGACTTACATCTGACCCTCTCTTGGGAGGTACAGGTGAATCAGAAAGTGCTGAATAAGTTAATTAGGTTTTATTATCTAAGCTGAATGAAAATAAAACAGCAATACAGCTATTTATCATTTATTCTCTTCTGCTGACCCTCAGGCTTGATCACACATTTTCTTCCAGCTATAGCTGGGCTGGCCACCAGCTCCAACCACAGCCCCCTGCCAAAGGTTAAAACTGTGACCAGGCTGCTTCTTTAATCCCCTCCCAACATGCTTCCACAAAAAAACCCATCTCAGTTTAAGTAATTTTAACAGACAGTCCTTTCTGTCCCAGCCTGGACAGAAGCAAGTTTGAGAATGCTTAACCAAAAAGCTTGGTCCATACGTCTCCTTTTGGAGATCTGACTTCTCACAGGAGCAGGGTGCAGAACAGCATAAATGTCCCTTTGAACGTGTCTCCAACAGATACTCAAAGTCAAGGAACTCTGCATAACTAGCTAGTTATGAAAATATTGGTTGTTGCAATAATTCTCTCTTCCTTCTCCTCCAAATTTTCAAATTTCACTTTTTTTGAGGAACAGCATGTGAAAAATTTCATAGTTTTTTGTTCTTTGTGACTGAGAATGAATTGTCACATGGAAGTCTTTATCATTCCTATATGCAGGTTGTTAATGATAATAAATAACAGAATAATCATCAGAGAATTTCTATCAATCAGCCACAGAAAATAATTCTGAAAAATAAAATCAGTCCAGAAAGAAGGGTAGGTTTTCCAAAAAGACTGGGAAGATGTAGAAGTAAGATTCCATTTTTATCAGACACATAACCTAATTTTAAAACATAGAATGGCACTCATGTACAGATGACGCTAGTGGAGTCTTTGGAAGTTCCTAGGAAGGCTTTGCTCCCAAAAGTAAATTCAGTGAAAATTGGACATTTAACACAATTCAGAAGCTGAGCAAATTAATCTGCTGTACATTATTGCAGTACAATGCTGGTACTACCACCCACTTCAGCTCAGTTCAAGCCAGCACAGGTGACTGCACCAAAGTTTGTGGTACAAGAACTTGGTAAATACTCCTAAGGCTTAGATCCTGATGTCTTTGCAATACAAGAACTTGGTAAATATCCCTAAGACTTAGATCCTAATGTCTTTGTCATGCTTAAGAGGAAGGTTTAGTCTCCCAAATCACTCAGGCGCTTAACAAAATTTTACCAAAGCTTTCTGGTTTACAGTCTTTGTCAAGTGCACTGATACACAGTAGGGAAAGCAAAAAAATGGGAGAAATACGTTTTAATGGTTTGTCAAAAACATCACTTGATGTGAACATATTATTGTTGGAAGGCAGCTAGGTGAAGCTTTCTAGGTGTAGCTAAATGTGTATGTGAGTTTTTGTTTACACTAGATGATGAGTGAAAGAAACAAACCCTTTGGACTTCCCCTCAGCTTCTCAGTCAAATTCAGCCAAACATGCCAGGCAATCACCAAACACAGAGCTGTCTTTTTCCACTGGCTTCTGCTCAGTCCTACATCTTGGCATACCGTTAATTCCAAGCCTTACTGCCAGAAGCAGCAGAAACTTTGCTCTTTTTGCCTTTTAATTTTCAAGGTTACACAAACACATAATGTTGTATCTATTTCATAGATGTGAGGAACTACAGAACTATCACGGAGTTAATGTGCATGTAGTACAAAGAAGGGAAAAAAACACCTCAACTCCTTCTATCCAAACTGGACTTCATTAATATGGAACTAATATAACATATGTCTAATGGTGTGCTTTCCTGACCTTTTCCAGGCCTACAGTTATGGTAGCATTCATATTCAGTGTGACTTACAGTTACACATTCTGTAATGTGAATCACTACTTCTCCCAGTCAAGAGAGACTGAGTGTGAAATCACTGGAAGAACTGAATGAGACAATGTTTTGGCACTGCAGCTGCTGAGGGATATGAAGTGTTTGGAACAGTACTTTTCAATAGTGGTCCCATTCTATAAAATATCAGGAAAAGGTGTTAGTGGCCAAAGAAACTGAGTTAGTGCTCAAGTACTGTGTCCATGATGTTCAGAAGCTGAAAGAAATCTGAAATTGTGGGCTAAGACAGCTTAGCTAAAGAAATCTTTTTATGTTGTAAGTTTACAAAAATGCAGCAGTGGCAAGTTCTGAGTAACTCAAACCAACTGATGAATTAATGAGTTAGTCAATGACACAGATGCATACAGTGACATGGACATAACAAACACCCATACCAGAGACAGAGAAGGGTAGAACAAGCAAGTCCTGGATAACTCAGTAGAAAACTGTTGGCAGAAGAGTTATACAAGTGCATGAAAACAAATCTATGAAATTCACGCTCTAGCTAAGTTTATTCATGGAAATAAAGTTCCTTCATTATTTCTTAACTTGTATTTATTCTCATTGTGTTGACAGGAACATGAAATCCTATAGAAGGCTTAAACAAAATTTCAAAAAAATCTGTGGAGTGTAGAGAACAATACAAATCTCTCAGAGATTAAAAAAGTAGATGCTATATTTTTTAGTGTTAGGCTCTCACAAATATCCTCAGAGTTTGTGTTAGTCCATCAAATTGAAAGGCATATGCTATCTTTGATCTCTGTGCAGAACCTCCGTTGAGATTAATGTGAGTTCTGTGTGAAGAAAGAGACTAGAATAGGCCCTCAGTTCACAAATAGCAAGCAGTCTGCTTCAGGAAAAAACATGTTTTCTTACAACAGTGTTGAAATTTACTGGGAAGTTTCAAATAGTTTCTCTTCAGATGCAAGTTTGTGGTCCTGAGTGTGTTCACTTGTCAGAAAGACCTGTCAGAGGGAAGGTGCACAAACCTACCTCTTGTGTGAGATGTTTGGCTGCTATGTTGAAACACATTCTTCATCTCTGACAAGCTTTTCTCATACTGTAACAACTAATCCTCTGTTTTACATTCATCTCTGCAAGTTAATGGCTTTGTCCATCGATGGGGTGTCATTTTTATACAGACTGGCATGAAATTGTGCCCTACACCCACTTCCAGCTAAAAAAATCTACAGGACTTACTGCATCCCGCCTTGTAGCTGAAACCAGGAGGAAGAAGGAATCCTTGCTGTGCAGCTGCTGCTAGGGTTCGCTGGTCTGGAGGGAATACGGGAATCATTAATGGAGGCAGCTGACCCTGGACCTGCTGAACAGGAGAGGGAAAATCAAACACAGAATTTTTTTTGGGGGGGGACAATATGCTTTCTTTCACTTCTGATCTGAGAGGTCTGGTTTGAATACACCTCTTCATATTGGGGTGTTCCAGCAGCATCAACTGTTGAGCTTCATCCTCATTACCAAGCCCTTCATACGAATTACATTAATCCAAAATAAACTGAAATATTTCACTAACGCATATCTATATCCCACTTAATTATTCCCCCCACTGTTCATGATAACTGACTTATCTCTGACTGTAAGGGGGTATGTTCTTCTCTTTTATTGAACTGTGTAGCAGTATCTGTCTCAGACAGTAGCTTTCACCCTGACTAAGCCCAAACACAAAGACGCCTCTTCAGAAGGAAAAATAAGTGCATAAGTAGCACACAGCACAGCCAGTACTATTTTTCTGCTCATACACGTGCAGTTATTTGTACATGTGAAAAGATAAAAAGTCTCTGGCATGGTCAGAAAAAAGGCTGAGACATTTTATTCACAAATAAAACATCTATGTCTGAAGTGCTAGGCGTTCAGCTTTGCACAGCAACTCTACACAACCAGGCAAGTCAGGAAGTGGAAAATATTATATTGTAAGTGGATACTGCAGGGGACTTAAGACATGCAGAAGTTAGTCATCAAAGCTGGAACTGGGCCATGGCACAACATCTACTGCTGTTGCTTTTACCCAGTTCCGTTAATAGCTTTTAATTGCTAGAAATGGAAGTTGTCTCTGTATATCACACAGATGACAAACACAAAGTTTGCTGGATTAAAATGCTAAATGACTAGCTTCAATTTAAAAGCCCCACTGTATTGACCAGATCTGCCAGTAAAAATAGACTGGCTCAGTTTTTGAGAGAGCTCATCTAGATTTTTAATGGTGCTGTAAAGCTGAGGCATTGGAGATAGATAAGTTTTCCAAAACTACAATTTATTTTGTGGTCTGTAGCCTTAAGTAGCTCAGAAAATAGAGTATCAATAGACCACCTTCTATGCTGAAGGGGGCAAGTACATGTTTCTGCCTGGACAGTAGAACTGGCAAAAGAAAACCTGCACCAGTCTTTGGATGCCACTGTTCAGACTACACCATTTGCACTTAAATTTTATTTTAATCTAATTTCCTTAAAATCCAAGCCATGTCTTGGTTCACCCAACACCGTTACCAAGCATAACAGTGATACAAAATTTGGGATTACCATCCCTTTTTAATTTACGCCGGGAGCTGTCAACACCCCTGTGTGTGCTGACTGCATCTTTATAATCTGAAACAATTTTCAAGGATGGAGTTCAAGAGCACTGCTGACAGAAATTCTTGCCATGGGAGATTAAGATTGGGGCTGAAGATAGAGTAGATGTAGCTCCACTCACTGAACTAGCTTGATCCAGTTTTTGTTACTTCAATATTTTTTCTTTCTATTCTGATCCTGTTAATTAGAAGGCACACATATTTTCAACTGAATTATGGGAGAAAAAATATATAAAATGTGGTTTGTTCTCTATCCCCACGCAGTTATCCTAGAGCTGTCCAACACCTGCCTTTTCTTCACGTGTTTATTTTTTGTTTGTTTTGTTTGAGGTTTTGTGGTTTGCTTTAAGACAAAGACAAAGTAACTGTATTCTTTTAGAACAAAAATGAACAGCCATGCGGAATTTTTGCATAGTACTCTTCTTCGGCAAAAAGCCACAGAACTTTTTTTTTAAATGGTTTCCAAGGATGAAAGTGACTTTGCCAAGCGAAGAAGCTTCAAAACAGGACTCAAAAACACTAATAGAAAGACAGATGGTTCTACTAAGTGTTTTGCTGCCAAAAAAAATGTTAAAAAAAAGTGAAAAAAATGGAGTGATGTTATTGAAGCTGACTGCAAAGTTCTCTGATGACTGCAAATACTCTTGTCCCACTGCAAGTGTTAACTCTGCCTCCAGGGCTAATATAACTAAAGCACCACACACACACAAATTGTCATTGCCAAGCCCACAATGTAGCTTAAGTCTGCACTTGATTCCAAGTGACTGCCAAACACATGAGCAAAACACCACACTGAAAAATTCCCATTTAGGAAAACATTTACCAGGAAAATGCCCTTTCTTCCTAAATCTGACTGCTGCATTTCATTTTTTTTCAAATTGCTGCTCCTCTCTAACTCTCTAAGGGGCCTTATAGCCCCTAATTTCAAATGTCACAACCCTATTTGCATTAAGGAGGTAAAAACTATAGAGTGATGAGGATGGTTTGCATGGATATAGAAATAACACAGTCAAAACAATGCGATTTTCATTCCAGGATGGAATGTATGTAGCAGCACTCAGCTACACTTCATTTTCTCCTAAACACAAATAAATGCAAACATTAGTTTATTTTAATCCGATTACCTGACACAATAACATACAAATTATGGACTCTTCATTTTTATGGCTCATTTAACTACTACATCTTAACTCGTTATGTTTATTATTATTATTAACTGGAATTGCTAGGATACAACTGTTTCAAGTGGCATTGAATACAGGCCCTCCTTCTGAGTTTTACATCTAAGATGTTTTCCTTTTTTATTTTTTCTTTTCAAGGTATTACTAGATCAGTTAAATCTCTCAAATGATTTTTATTATATAGCTTACATACCTTCCAATATTTTCTGGATTGTAATTTCTTGATACTGTATTTCTAAATTGAATATAATGGACTGCAAATCAGAGCTATTTTCCAGGCCCTTCGATTTGTTCTGCTAATTGACATATGTCCATAAAAAGAAATACCACTTCAACAATCTAATAATTCATACAGCTGGCAAGATTCTCCACTGGCCAGCCTCTCTAAGTGATGACCTCTTCTCAGTAGTAATATCCTAAAGGAGAAAACTTTATTTTAAATCCTCACCAAATTCTCAATGGATTTAATGAGCTACAAATTTACCTTGTAACTTCTTATCTACCTTATGATCTTAGTCTGAATGATACACATACAATCTTCCAAGGCCTTGTTTTTTCATACTGTTGCCACTGTGTAAACTGATCACACTGTTCCTTGATTTCCCTTTTAATCTGAATATCACATTAACTAGAATATTCTTGTACTGCATGAAAAACTGCATGGGTACGGTATGCACAGAAAAGGCTCATAACACACATAAAATAACAAAGAAAAGTACCAAATGTCAAGAGAGCCAAAACATTCTATGCAATCAATTCTGTAGTCAAGGAATTTGTACTTTTATATCTCCAACAAGTTATTTGAATCAACAGGTAAGCCCACGAAACAAGCACCACTAGCCATTTATTTTGAGAAAAATATCACCCCTTAAGGAAGCAGATGCATAAGATTTCAGTCAAATGAAGTCAAGGTTCTTTCATTCACAATGAGGACAGTAAATCATCCTCTCTAATGACAATGTGTTTTAAGAACATGAGAAACTCCAACCAAATGTAACCTAGAGCCAAAACCAAACCCAAGTGTGTTGGTTTTGCCTGGCCTGGCTTTTGGCAGCAGGGGGGCCACAGGGGTGGCTTCTGTGAGAAGCTGCTGGGAGCTTCCACCGTGTCTGGCAAAGCCAATCCCTGATGGCTCTGAGGATGGACATGCTGCTGGCCAAGGCTGGGCCAGTTAGAGATGATGGTAATGCCTCTGTGGTAACAGGTTTTAAAAGGAAATCAAAACAAAGATAGTGGGGCAGTTTTCATTTCGGTCACAGAAGAGGAGGAGGAGGAGAGAACATGTGAAGGAAACAACCTGGGGACACCAAGGTCAGTGCAGAGGAGGGGCAGGAGGTGCTCCAGGGGCCAGAGCTGAGATTGCTCTGCAGGCTGTGGTGAGACCATGGGGAAGCAGCTGTGCCCTGCAGCCCATGGGATCCATGGGGGATGCAGAGATCC